TTACTGAGAGCAGCAGCTCAGGGGCCACAGTTACTGAGAGCAGCAGCTCAGGGGCCACAGTTACTGAAAGCAGCAGCTCAGGGGCCACAGTTACTGAGAGCAGCAGCTCAGGGGCCACAGTTACTGAGAGCAGCAGCTCAGGGGCCAGACTTCCAGCAGTTAAAGTCATTCTGTAAATAAAACAAATATTACAATCATCTGTTACATTTTAAATTGGTTTGTTTTGTTGCATTGAATCATAAATACAATAAACTGAAGATAAAACACAAACCCAGAACGTCCCCTCCCAATGTTTTTATTTTATTATGAACTCATTGGGGGGACGGACTAAAGTCATGTGCCGGCCTGAAGTGGCCCGCGGGCCGCCAGTTGAATAGTCCTGTCCTAAATCATGTGACATTAAATATGAAGCAGATGATGAAGCTCACGTCTACATCCGGGCCTCTGCTGCGGGTGGACACTCTGCCCGCAGCAGCAGCAGCAGCAGCAGCAGCAGCTTCCTCCGTGTCTGCAACGCTGGAAGCTGCTCCTCCTCCTCCCTCAGGCTCCCTCACAGACGAGTCTGGAGCTCGGTTTGATCTCGTCTGAGATGACACATGAAGAAACATCTAACTGTGTTTTTATTGAAACTCACGCCGTCAGCTTGTCTCCCGTCCTCACCTCTCTTTTATCCTCGGCAGGAGTGGAGCTTCCGGTCATCTGTGGCTGTGCACTCGGCCCGGCGCTTGCCGCCCGCCTGCTTCTGGTGGCTGCAGGAAGCTCTTCAGTCTGTTTGGAGGCTGTGGGTCCATCTGAAGCGAGCCTGGAAGATGTTCTGATGGAGACCCTAGCAGCAGGTTCTGGTGCTCCTGAAACTCTGCCTGGAGGGCGCTCAGCACCAGCAGCACCTTTACTGATGGACCTCCTGGGTGCGGAGGGGCGCTGGAGTTTATTGTGTGGAGGTTTAGGTGCAGGAGCAGCTTTTGTTCGTGTTGCAGTAGTGTTGGGTTTTCCTGTTGCCTGAGGACACGACAGGACAGAGAACATCAGAACCAAACATCTCAACTGTCTTCAGAGTAAATTGCCCCTTTTCCATTAGTACCAGTACATAGAACCAGTCCCTTTATTC